AAATCTTTTTTTAAAAGATTTATTTTTTATTACTATTTTTTTTTATTGGAAAGGCGGATATACAGAGAGGACAGATAGAGAGGAAGATCTTCTGTCCGATGATTCACTCCCCAAGTGAGCGCAACGGCTGATGCTATGCTGATCCAAAGCCAGGATCCAGGAAATTCTTCTGGGTCTCCCATGCGGGTGCAGGGTCCCAAAGCTTTGGGCTGTCCTCGGCTGCTTTCCTGGGCCACAAGCAGGGAGCTGGGTGGGAAGCGGGGCTGCCGGGACCAGAACCGGCGCCCATATGGGATCCCAGGCGTGCAAGGCGAGGACCTTAACCACTGTGCCACCATGCCAGGCCCAATAAATAAATCTTAATTTAAAAAAAGAAGAAGAAGAAATCACTTGCTTTGGTGCTAGACTGATGTGTCTTCAAGTTTATATATAACTTCTGAAACCTGGGGTCTGATTCCTACCCACTACGACATTGATTAAAAGGTTACTCCCCTACAACTCAAGGAGCCCTGACCAGGGACAGTTGGATGACATTCCTGTGTGCCATTGAAAGTGTGTTATCAGCCTTTCACCTACTTCCAAGGTTTAGGTGTATTTCTTCCTAGAGGTAAATGCTGAAGAAATTTCTCCTCTAAAATACAACATCAAGTAAATAAATTCAAAAAGGGTTTGATATCAAATTTGCATACATCTCCATTAAAGCTGATACATACGTATTTGCCATTAGTACATCTTGGTCAAACCATAGCCCAGAATTCTAAACAAGATAGTTTTTAATTCAGAAATAAAGTTTAAAACCTATGCTTAGTTTGGGGTGATATGTCTAAGAAAGCAACAGAAGAAAAACTTTTAATAACTAACCAAAAACTTTCTAACAATGAATTGCTCTTAAGAAACAAACAAAAAAACTCCTGAGGTAATAATGAAATTTACCACATTAATTAAAATGGCTAATATTTATGTTTTGACAGCAGTTTAGAAAACAGTGTTTTTTTAAAGGTTAATTTATTAATATGAAGGTCAGAGCCCCCCACCTACTCACATACAGAAAAGAGAGAGAAACAGAGACACAGAGATTATTTTCCATCTATTGCTTTACTTAAATGGCATAGCAGCTGGAGCTGCAACAATAGCTTCTTTTAGGTCACCCACGTGAATGCAGAGCCCAAGTATTTGGGGCAATCCTCTACTGCCTTTCCAGATCATCAGAAGGGAGCTGGATTGAAGAACAGCAGTTGGGACTCAAACTGACTCCCAGCTTGGATGCCCACATTGCAGGTAGTGCCAGTATTTGCTCAAAGGAAATACATCATTTTTGTCTACTTAATATTTGATCTCTGATAACCTCAGATTCTTATTTTCCTAAATTTTGGATTATTAAAAACTTAAAATTTCACTTGTAAACTGGAAGACTATTTGTCTTCATTTTGGTGGCATCATCCAGCATCTGTACTTGCACATTCACACCACCCGTAGTGTGGTATCCACCCCATCAATAGAGGCATTTTTAAACCTAGCAACCACACATCTAAAAGGTTATCGAGAGAGTGTGTCCCACCATTTGTGTTCACTTACACACACCTTGTCTTGATTCAGAGGTGGTGGTTGGCTTCAGGGAAACCTCAAGTGACCATATCCGTCATTACACTTGAATACCTTTTCTAGCTCCCAATTCCAGCTTCCTCCTAAACACATACCCCAGGAGAGGCAGGATGGCCTAAAAAGGTGGGTCCCTGCCACCCCACCACATTGTGCCAGGAAGACTCCTTGCATAATTTGATAAATAGGAATGAGTGTAACACAAAACCTGTGACTTATCCACCAGGAATTACTACTGGAGTCAGGGAAAATGTATTGATACAGTCTAAGAGAAATAAAGAACAAAGTTTAACTTAATAAATGCTTCCTGACTATTAAATTAGTAAGTAATAAATTATCATCACAATGGAAAATGGAGAAGCCATGAATGCAAGAACAACCCTAATCTGATGGGTCTTCACTGGAAGATTCTGTGTGAGGGATCTCACAGCCAAGTTTACATGTTAGAGTCTCCCCTCTGGGGGACACCCCTGATTCTAGATTTGAGGTACATCAGGGTCCAGAACGGAATGTGTAGGTACTGATATGACCACTGATTGGAAAGATAGCGATGTGTCCTCATGGTGGGCTAGACTGATTGTTACCGGCTCATTCCCATCAGTTGAGATTCATAACATAAAGATGCAAATGGTCAAGTACCGTGTCCACTACAGCCCAGTGCTGAGCCACAGCCCCCATCCCAAGGTCTGAATCAGGGGTTCAATGCATCTCTAGAGGGAAGACTCTTCTCATCTATGAAACATGCTTTCTCTGCCCATTTCTACTGGAACCCTAGGAAAATCCCAAGTTATCCATATTCCCTACTTCCTGTTTCATTCTCTGCCTTGTTCCCCTTTTTCAGAGAAAAGAGCATTGACTACTACAAGGCAATGAACAACACTGTGATTGATCCCTTCACTGAGACTTCCTGATCTTCCTCTTTTTATAAATACCTAGGGAGTCAGGGAGTAGTGAGATCTGGAGCCCGCAGCCCAGCTCTGCCTGCCTGCTGTGAGGATGACACTCTCCATGACTGCCCTCTCCTTCCTCATTCTGGCTGCTAACCTTGGAGTCCAGGCCAGCAACCCATTTGGTAAGTCCTGCCAGAATTCTTACTGGTGGCCAAGTGTGTGGTGACCTAAGATCAGGGGAAGACATTTTTTTGCGCTTCAGGAAATAAACTCTGGCACAAATAAGAACTTATTCGAGACAGCAGTGGGATGTTGACCTGCCTCTGCCTTTGGTCCTGGGAAAAAACTCGCACAGATGCAGATTTATTTTCCACTTACTCTTAGCTCATAATTTAGCTAGATCATAGGATGACTGATTACAAAATTGTGAAAAGAAGGTTGCAATTCCATGTTGAAATGCTTCAGTATACCCAACATAAACAACCACTTTGAGAAGTAATGGTACCATCCAGGTAAGTCACCCTCTGAAGATACTGTCCCATGTGTATTTTATTTATGTTGGTAACTGGGTAGTATCATAGAAAGGTCAATGTCACTGCAAACAGGTCACCCAGCTCACATTTCCCAAGGAAGGCAGAACACCCTGCCACAGGTCACGTGGCAGCACTAGGGTTTGGTCAGGAGCAGGACAGGAGGGAGGAGGTCCCTGCACCAGAGCCTTCACTGGAGTCTGAGCAGGCAGGACAAAGGACCAAAGGTAGTTAAGATGGACTGATATGACTCTAGTGGACTTGGGGATCATGAGATGGAATCTAACTACCTGGTTGATTTGGGCCAGGGAAATAGAAGCTTGGTGCTGAGATGGACAGGAAGGTGGTGGCAGGGCACAAGGGCTCAGCATTTGTTGGTTTTAATCTTGTACTCTGTGGGAGAACTGGAAAATCCAGCATGGTTGGGACCTCTTAGGTTGTTAAAGTTTTTAAGGTGTCAAATATTGTAAGAGACAGAGAATAAACCCCAGGATTAAAACAATCACGTGCTCACTGTATTGTTGGATTACACAAATGCTTGTCCAGGACTTCTCATGTACTAAGTGGCCACTTTTTGAAGTGCCTTATGGTCATCAGCAGCTTGATCCCTTCTAACCTGTGGCTAAGTATTAGGTAGAAGAAATGTAAAATTGCCCTTCTCCTTGGATAGAAAACCAAAAAGCAGTTGCATATCAGCAGTTATCTCTAATTGTGCACATCCTTTTTTTTTTTTAATTTCACAAATAAAAACACAAAGGCATAGGAATCTTAGATAAATTGCTCATAATAAGTGGTAGGTACAGAATATAGCTCATATGCCAGTTACAAATAAAAAGACAGGCCAATTGAGATCTTCACTTTTTAGTGAAGTATTTTAAAAAGCACTCAATTTGGGCTTGTGTGCTGTGACACAGCATGTTCAGCTGAAGCCTGCTGCGATACCTGCATTACATATGAATGCCAGTTGAAGTAGGCTCCTCCCTTCTCTACTCCTTTCTCCTCCCCTCCTTACTTCTCCCTTCCATTCCCTCCCCTTCCCTCTCTTCATTTCCTTTCCCTTTCCATCTGTTCCTTTGACTTTCTTTCCTTCCCTTCCCCCCTCTCCTTCACTTCCCTTGCCACACATTTGGGAGACAGGATGGATTTCCAGGCTCCTGCTTCAGCCTGACCTAGAATCCACTGCTGTGGCCATCAGTGAATGAACCAGTAGATGCAATTTCCATCATTCCCGCTCTCTCTGTTACTATGCATATGAAATAAATAAGTAAATACTTTTAGAAGTACCCAACTGTCTTATTAGATGAGCTATTTTCGGGAAAAGTTTAAAAATGCACTTGCCTTCCTAATAAGCATAATTTAGCCCCTTGCTAGACCCATGAAGTTAGAAAAGCTTTGGAATTCAAAACTGTCTTTTTTTTTCTTGAAACGTTACTTAAGAAGACATTGTCTCACATCTATAATGGGGCTTAGAAAGTATATGCTAATCAACTTCAGCTGTATTTTCATAGTAAATGTAAAAGTATTTTAAAAAATTGAATAAAGATTGAATATAGCCTCTTTTTTTCACTGAGTAGTACTGTACCTATGACACTGTGCTGATGAAAAACCATTTTCTTTCTAGAATCCAAGAGATCCCGATACCCATAGAGACACAGTAGACTGCATCAGGTGATTGTAGACGCCCAAGCGTATCTGTGTTAGATTTACAGTCCACATCTAGCATTTCAGAGTCAACAGAATGCTTTCATCTGACAAACAAGTTCCAAAAATCACTTATATCTTACAGACCTACCAGAACAAAAAAGCAGACAGGGAGGTGTGGGACCCAACGCGACTTGGGATTCCATTACAGAGCCTCTTTGCTTTGGGCTGAGGGTGAGTACAGACTGGGACATTGCTGCCTCCCACCGAGGTCTCTTCCCACTCTGTCCTTCTTTCAGATAGAACACATATGAATGGTGTCTATGAGGCATCACTTCAGTCGGCTAATTACTGCTGCTACACCTACACTGACAAAATCATCCGCTGCGCCAACATGATAGATGGCTTTGAAACCAGCAGTCAGTGCTCCTTAGCAGCTGTCATGTAAGTGCTAAGCCCACCCACCCCATGCTGGGGATAGGCAGCCTGCAGGGTCTTGGGAGAGCACATGACAAGTGGTTGGGGTGTCCAGACAAGGCCCACCCCTGATACCCTGCACCTGCTATTCTTAAAGGCAACAGCAGAACATCCAGAATGAGAAGCTCACAACAGAGAGAGGGGTCAGAAAAACTGGGGCGGTAGGAGGGGGAAATCAGGCAGAAGACAGTCCACAGAACCTCAGTGAGTCACCAGCGAGTCTCAGGGCTGAGGGAGGGTCTCAGAGAGGGAAAGCAGAGCAGGTTGGGTTGTGCTGGGTGGGGACTCAGAGGGGCAGGGAGGATGGGGCTCCTCTTCACATGAGATGCACACACCCCAGTCTCCAATCTTCTCCTCCTTTTCTCAGCTTCCGCACTAAGGGGGGACAGGTGGTCTGCACCAACCCTGCACACAGTGAAGTTCAAGAATGTATGGCAGAGCTGAAGAGCCGAAACAACAACGTGTCCTATCTGGATAAACTGCCATCTTCAGGGCTGGCACTCAGAGGGGAAATGCTTCCAGATCCACCTGACAAAGTGCCTGGAAAAGCAGCAGAGGATATCCCAAGTCCTTGGGCCTCTAAATCTCAGAGGCAGATCCAGAAGAATCCTCTGGTGTCTGGCTTCAGACTGGTCCAGCCCCGACAGTTGCAGCCACTTGGGGAGTGAACAAGTGGGTAGAAGATCTCTTTTCCTTCTTCCTGCTCTCTGGAACTTTGACTTTCAATAAGTAAATCATTTTTTAAATAAGTAAATACATAATGTTAAAAGGTCACCTGTGGCACAAGACACTATCCAAGGACTTTAAACAGAGATATTTCCTTAAGCCGAGATGGGAGTTCCCATCACCCCAGCTCCAACTCTCTTGCTCTAAACCTTCTCCTATCAGTTTCATGGCCTGAATTTAGTTTTTTCAGCAGTGTATTGTGGGGGTCAAGGTGGTACAGGCTAATGCTCTGCTGATAGCACCTGCATGCTATATGGGCAAAACTTGAGTGCTAGATAACCACATCTAATCCAATTCCCTTCCTAGAGCCTTGGAAGGCAGCCATGGAAGGCCCAAGTCCTGGGGCCTCTGCACCCACGTCGGAGACCTTGAAGATACGCCTGGCTTTGGGTCAGTTCAGCTCTGGTTATTGCAATCCTTTGTGGAGTTACTGGTGGATGAAGATCTTCCTCATTATCTCTCTGTTTCATATATATATATGTGTGTGTGTGTATTTCTCTCCCCTTCTCTTTGTAAATCTGCTTCTCACATAAAAATAAATGTATCTTTTACAAACTGTACTGATTTGTTTTGGTTATGACATCAACACATCTGATAAAGAATATTCACCTTCAATTTACTCCAGTGTTAAGTGCAATAAACTGAAAAAACTGAAAGGATTGTCAAAATTCAAAGAGATCAGACACAAGTTCATCTTCTGCTCCTCTGTTCTACTGAAGCAGTGAAGATTGAAGCCTTAACTACTGTTTCAGAAAACAGTTGCTTTTCCTTTATGATTAGCTCAAGTCACACCATGTTTTGGTTCACCTACTGGGTGACACATGATGACATCATGCAGATTTTGGGTTTCTAATAATTTTATTATGTTCAATTCTCCTATATGCCAAACAATAAAACCAATGCTCACTTTCTATCCTCCTGTGTTTGCACTTGCAGACTGGTGCCAGCAGTCTCATAGCAAGACACACTTTTCTAGAACATGCTCAGTTCCTGTGGTGGGTTAGAGGAATAGTTTTGGCTCAGCCAGCAGCAATTACGTTAGGGTTTCCACCCATCACATGCCTGATTCACGGAATTTGCTTCCTTGTCCTTGAACTCACTCTTCACTTTGCTCTCTACACCCTGAGAAGCTTCCTACTATACTAGATGATAGAAGTGCTTTCTGAGCCTTTTCCATCATTAATGTTTTCTTCTCTATTTTCCAATGTTCTGTAATTTTCCTCATAGAGGCCTTCCACTTTTTTTATTAGGTTTATTCCAATATACATAAGATTCTTTCCTGCTTTTTTAAAGGGATTGTTCTGGCTAGTTGTTTTCCAGCACTGCAGTTTTTTTGTGAACACTAGAGCCATTGACTTATATTCATTGATGTTGTATCCTGCCACCTTCCCAAACTCTTACAGGTTCTAATAGTCTCGTTACTGAGTCATAAGGTTCTCCTATGTATAGAATCATGTAATCTACAAACATAGATCATTTTACTTTCTCTTTTCCAATTTGAATTACTTATTCTTGCATAACAGCTCTAATGAGGAATTCAAGCCCAATGTCAAATAGCAGTGGTAATAACAGACTCCTTGTCTTGTTCCAGATATTAATGAGAAATCTTCCACTCTTTCCCTGATCCGTATGACTCTGGCATTAGGTTTTCATTCATTCAGTTGTTTGATTGTGTGATAGAATATTCCTTTTATACCTATCCTGTTTCAGGTTTTTAGGGTTTAAAACATGCAGAGATTCAACATTGCAAGGTGAGGAGAATTCCATGAATGGGCAATAGTAATAGTTATACAGATATTTGATTGTATCAAATCTTTGGGAACTATAAAGGTATATATGATTAAAAGAGAAAATTCTGTATTATACATTATTCTATAACATGTAAACATAATGCTTCAACAAAGGTCATTCATATATATCTGGATATTACTCACCCTTGATGGTGACATGGAACCAGACTTTAGTCCTACTCAGCAATATTCCTACAGCAAACTCATGCAAAGCCTCACGGGACCTGGAATAAAGACACATAGAAAACAGCCTCAGTTCGCTCTCTGGGTGACACTGTGCTGATGTCACCATGTTGTCAAAAACTTTATTTCCACAGTTCTGCGAATTACAACAAGTGCAGAGACACCACAGACTGCATCACGTGCTGTAGATGGCCCAATGGCACATCAGTGTTAGATTTGCAGGTTGTGTCTATCATTTTGGGCTCAACACAAGGCTTTCATCTCACAAACATGATTCTAAAGTAAGTCCCTGAAGACTCTCAGATGCCTAGCAGGACAAAAGAGCATGGAGACAGCTATTGGCCCAGCGGCATGGCCTAGCAGCTAAAGTCCTCACCTTGAACCTGCCGGGATCACATATGGGCACTGGTTCTAATCCCAGCAGCTCCACTTCCCATCCAGCTCCCTGCTTGTGGCCTGGGAAAGCAGTCGAGGACCGCCCAAAGCTTTGGGACCATGCACCCGTGTGGGAGACCTAGAAGAAGTTCCTGGCTCCTGTCTTCGGATCAGCCTAGCATTGGCCATTGTGCTCACTTGAATCATCGGACGGAAGATCTTCCTCTCTGTCTCTCCTCTTCTCTGTATATCTGACTTTCCAATAAATAAATAAATAAATCTTTAAAAAAACAAAGAGTAAGTGACGACAGCATGTAGGTGAAGTCTGCACTCCGGTTGCATCCACCCCACGCACAGGACAGGAACAATGGGCTGGCCCAGAGGGAACAGACTACCTCCAGGGAGGATCAGGAGATGCTATGTACACCTCTTCTCCAGGTGCCCACTCTATCCCTGCAGGTTTCCCACGAGCTTCACCATAGCAAGGACAATCTCTCTGTGGCATGCACATGTCTATGATGCCTTTCCTGCAAGAGCAATGCCCCCAGTCTTGGGCTGGGGGCAGGTGTCTGCAGCAAGGAGAGCCCAGCAAGAGCAGGACAAAATATCCCTCCTGAATGCTGAGCCCATCTGCTTCCACAGTCTCGTGAGAACCAGACATGGCCTCTGTGTGGCACTTCATCCACCTCTAGGATTTCACCATCCTATGGAAGAAAGCTTCTCCTACTTTACATGAAGCATCCAGTGCACTAACATCATAGGATACTTAGAAACCAGCAGTCAGTGCTCCAGCCAGCTGCCATGTGAGTGCCATGTTCTCCCACCATGGCTGAGGAACTGGGAGCCTGCTGGGAGAACCTGATGGGAGGGTTTCAACACAAGTCCCACCCTGACAGATACTCATTTGAGCTGTGCTCATTCCAGTCTGTAACAAATCTATACTTTCCCCAGCTTCATCACTAAGAAGAGACAATGAGTCTGTACCAACCCCAGTGATGAGATTTCTGGAATGCATGACAAACTGAAATCATGCTGGGTGAACAAGAACCAGGCAACAATGGCACTTGCTTGAGGGGCAGTGGGAACACAGGCTGTAACTCTCTCACACCCTGGGAGGTGTCTGATTTAAACTCTTTAAAAAATACATTCTCCTCTATTCTGGCCTTAAAGCAACACATCTAATAAAGAGTATCACTTACAAGAACTCCAATAAGAAAAGGAAACTGAAGGAATTACTAAACTTTGCATGAGTGTTGTCCTCCAAATTAAGAGACTTCATAACAGCATTTTTAAAAAGCTAAAATCACAGTTATCAAATACGTCTTTTTAAGACATTAGGGAGAACAATGTTCTGCAGCTCCCTAGGGGAACCGAGATTGTTGGAGTTATTAGGGTGACACTCAGAAATGAGGTGACCAAAGTAGAAGGCACATGCATAACCTGTGTATAGGGCAGGACACAATCGGGAACTTCTGGGATCATCTAGCTAATGCTAGAAATGGCCCATTTGTGTGAAGGGCAAGATTTCAAGTGCACGAATCAGTTCACAGAGGCTGGTACTTGATCCTGCCCACTAGGACATCAATCAAAAGGCCTCTTCCCTTATAAACTCAAAGAGGCCTGGTTTTGGGCCATTTTCTACTGCTTTCCCAGGCCAGAAGCAGGGAGGTGGATGGAAAGTGGGGCAGCCAGGACATGATTCAGAGCCCATATAGGATCCCAGTTCATGTAAGTTGAGCACTAAGCCACTAGGCTATCATAATGTACCCTGTTGGTATGTATTATGTGTTTGCGTGTAATGAGAAATATATATATATATATATACATATATATATAAAAAATGAGAAATATATATATGTATGTATGTATGTATATCACAGTATACCTTAAATTTGAAAATAACATTTAGGGCCTGACACGATGACCTAGTTCTCGCCTTGCATGTGCTGGGATCCAATATGTGCCATGGCTCTAATCATGGTGGCTCCACTCTCCATCCAGCTCCCTGCTTGCGGCCTGTGAAAGCAGTAGAAGATGGCCCGAACTCTTGGGTTTCCGCACCTATGTGGGAGACCCAGATGAAAGTCCAGGCACCTGACTTTGGATTGGCTCAGCTTCAGCCATTGCGACCACTTGAGAAGTGAATCAATGAATATGCTCTGAAAATCTTCCTCCTGTCTGTCTCTCCTCTGTTTATCTGACTTTCAAATCAAAAAAAAGTAAAAGAAAAAAAAAAGAAGTTTCAAACCTATGTCTAGTTTTGAGCTGATGTACTTAAGAAACCAACAGAAGAAAACCTTATGACAAAAAAAAAAGTTTATTTGGTTAAGATTTATTTATTGGAAAGTCAAGACATACAGAGAGGAGAGACAGAGAGGAAGATCTTCCGTCCGATGATTTACTACCCAAGTGAGCACAACAGCCAATGCTAGGCCGATCCAAAGCCAGGAGCCAGGAACCTCTTCTGGGTATCCCACACGGGTGCAGGGTCCCAAAGCTTTGGGCCATCCTCGACTGCTTTCCCAGGCCACAAGCAGGGAGCTGGATGGGAAGTGGAGCTGCCGGGATTAGAACCGGTGCCCACATGGGATCCCGGCAGGTTCAAGGCAAGGACTTTAGCCATTAGACCATGCTGCCGGGCCCCTAATAAACTTTTGAGCAACGAATCACTTTTAAGAAACAAAAATATTCCTGATACTGATGAAATTTGAGAATTATAACATCTCCAAAAATTGAGCACAAATTCACACTATCTCAATTCCACTAAGCTAGTTAATATTTTAAGTTTTGTCAGAAGTTTAGAAAACAGTACATTTTTGTTTGTTTTTGTTTTTTTAGTTTTATTTATATAACTAAATGGCAGAGGCAAGGGAGAAAAAAACAGAGAGTGAGAGAGAGAATCACCCATCTGATTATTCACTTCCCAAATGCCTCAACAGCCAGGCTTGTGCCAAGAGCTTCTCCTGGATCTTCTGCGTGGCTAACAATAGGGGGAAAAATGTAAATCTAAATTTGATCAAGATGGCCAACGCCTATGACCAGCAAAATCCTGGGAGGGCCAGAACCAGGCCCAAACAATCAGATGTTTACAGAACAACAATATCCTATTTAATTTGTATCTGCAGAAGAGTAACAGACTTAAGATTTGCTCTTGTCTCAATGCCCCATCTGCTTTCCTCACCTTACAGTATAAATCCTAGAGGACAAAATTCTAAACAATTGTGGAAAATTGATGTTATTACCATATCACTTTTCCTAGAAGCCTTTTTTAATCAATGTGCTAATTCTTATGTGCAGGTGTATATTAATGTCATCTTTGTTTTCACTTTGTTTCACTAGGTTCTCATTAAGAGGAGTTACACACTTGCTTTATAAGTATTAAAAAGATGGATTTTATTTTATTAAAAAGTTTGGAGAAGAGGCAGAGGATGATCTTCCGTACACTAATTCACTTCCCAAGTGGCCACAATGGCCAGAGCTGCACTAATCTGAAGCCAGGAGTCAGGAACTTATTCCAGGTCTTCCATGTGGGTGTAGGTGCCAAGTCTTTGGGCAGTCCTCGACTGCTTTCCCAGGACACAAGCAGCGAGCCTGAAGGGAAGTGGGGCTGCCAAGATTAGAACCAATGTCCATAGGGGATCCCCATGGGTGCAATGCGAGGAACCCAACCTCTAGGCTACCACATTGGACCCAATGTTTACAATTTTTAAATGCATCTAAAGATCTTAAATTATTGCTGAAACTGATCCATTGTTCTGTCCTGGATTGAGATAGCTAAACCAATACATATGTCTTTGTTTCATACAATTTAGATTTCTAATGGAGTGTTTTTGAAATATTTTAAGTCACTGATGCAGTTGTTCTCAAGTTTAATTCTCATTGCTTTCTCTAACATAAAATTTAGTATTAATTGCTAACCTGCACCCTTTTCTCGAACTTGTAACAGGTGTTAGACTTTTGGGTAAATGTCTTCTAATAGTGTTACTTGAAGTTTTCACTTGATATTGTTCCTAAGAGAATGCAACCTGGTGGCTCAGACTTGTTCAATCTGCATGACACAACCCTAGTTAGCCAACTGTTAAAAAATAAAGGGCGGGTGTTAGTCACTCAGAGACACATTATCTCTAGACATTTTTTTAACACTGAACTTTAAAATTTGCCTCAAGGAGACTTTAATACTCCTGCTGACAAACATTTGGCTATATCTACACTCTCCAATAAGGCCTTACAAATCTCAGTTCGTGTGAAACAAATGAATAATTCCTATGCTGCAACACTAGCAACCTGTGGCAAAGGTTATGCTCTTGTCTCTAGAATTTCCTGATGGATCCTCTGAAAAGCGAAAGGTTTCTCCTATGGCTCATCTGGCCTCGGAAGTACAGCAGTTGCCTTGAATACAACCCCACCCCTGGAGAAAATGGAATCCCCAGTGGAACTTACTCAAAGAATGGAAGAACGTGACTTACACATAGCAATACTCATAAATGAGGATTGTTCAACTAACATTCGTTTTGTTCCACCACAGTTCAGGGGCACAGAGAAATCCCCCACTTTCTGAGAATGTTTGAGGAAGACTATAATCCATTAAGATTGTAACAGGTGATGTATAGGTAACAGATTCTTAACCTCTGAGAGAACTAGGAAATGCTATAGGGACCTGAGAGCA